ACTCCTGATCTCAAGTGATCCGCCCACCTCGGCCTCCCAAGGTGCTGGGATTACAGGCATGACCCACCACGCCTGGCCAGAAAGTGTTCTTATCTAGAGGTGAAAGAAAAGAGATAATGATTCCAAAAATAAACACAACTCCTCTGTATTTAAAAAAAAAAAAAAAAAAAAAAAAAAAAGGCCTTTGGGGTCCTTGCAGACAAGCCAAGGATCAAATCCCAAATGACTTTGCCTGGGTCTTTGACGTCTGTCCGTCATGACAGTTCTTCAGGTTTTCATCTCATTCTCCACCCATAAAAGCACAGCGCAGCCTCCTGCCAGGCCCCTTTTCCCTCCAGCCACTTGCTGTCCCCCCTCAGGGCTTTACTTCTGGACTTTCTCCCATCTAAGTTCCAAGCAGACCTAACACTGCTTAGCTTCTGGATCAGCATGTTCAAGGTGGTATGGCCGTGGACTTGACTTTGGCACTTTCTGCTGCTCACCAGGGGTCTGTGAGCCCTCCTGAAGCTTCAGGTCCAGCTTGGGCTGCTCTTCTCCAGGAAGCCTCCCCGACCACAGGGCCCACCATAGTGGTCCAGACCCTTTAGCACTGTTTCTTGGGTGCCCGTGACGACTTCCTGAGGGTTAAGATGATGTCTATATTTCTTTGATCTCAGTCAGTGGTGAGCAAAAAAGGCACACAGTAAAACCTGGGGAGCAAAAGTCCCCTCACGTCCGCTCTCTGTGATCCCCTTAAGACCTTCTGTTTGGCCGGGCATGGTGGCTCAAGCCTGTAATCCCAGCACTTTGGGAGGCCGAGACGGGCGGATCACGAGGTCAGGAGATCGAGACCATTCTGGCTAACACAGTGAAACCCTGTCTCTACTAAAAAATACAAAAAACTAGCTGGGCGAGGTGGCGGGCGCCTGTAGTCCCAGCTACTCGGGAGGCTGAGGCAGGAGAACGGCGTAAACCCGGGAGGCGGAGTTTGCAGTGAGCTGAGATCCGGCCACTGCACTCCAGCGCGGGCGACAGACCAAGACTCCGTCTCAAAAAAAAAAAAAAAAAGACCTTCTGTTTACTCTAAGAGCAAAATGTTTGTCCCAGGCCCGGGCCCCAGCCCCATTAATTCTATGAATGAATTATGTTTTTATGTTTACTGAACATGAGAGCCACATGGTGCCTTTAGAAGGCTGCCGGCCTACGAGCAAGTCACAGAAGGGATCTAGGTGGGACTTGGCTGACCATTTTCTGGATGGGAGGAGGGGTGGCACGGCCTGGGCCTGGGATGTCAGAGCAGCTCTGGCTTGGGCCTACGGTGCTGCCAAGTGATTCCATTCAGCTCACTTGGCACCTCATCCCTCCCAGGCCCCAGTGACAGTGAGTGAAGCCATCAAAAACACGACAACAGGAATATATAGTGCTTATGGGAGCCCCAGGAGAGACCCTTTCCAAATGAAATGAAGTAAGAGAGGGTATTGAGAGAGTGAGGGGATCACTGGCCTGGGAAAAAGAGAGGGAAGGCAGATTCTGGGTCAAAGCACCAGCTTTAGCAAAGGCCTGGGCAGACGACCATCAGCATGGGCAGCCATAGGTACTGGCTGGTAGGATTCCCAGCAGGAGGATTTTGGGCTGCCAAGCCTGACCTACAAGGCCCAGGGCTCTGAATGACCCCAGATCTGCAGCTGCCTTCCAGCTAGCTAATGTGCCAGCATCAGCTTCTCTGTCAGCTCACAGCAGTGATGGGCTCTGTGGTTTTGATTTTCAAATACAGGGGAAAAGTAATTTCAGGCCAGGCGCAGTGGCTCATACCTGTAATCGTAGCACTTTGGGAGGCTGCGATAGGAGGACTGCTTGAGCCCAGGAGTTTCAAACCGGTCTGGGCAACCTAGTAAGACTCTGTCTCCCTATACGAAAATGAAAAATTTTTTTAAACTGAAAAAAAAAAAAGTTATTAAAGGCTGGGCACAGTGGCTCATGCCTGTAATCCCAGCACTTTGGGAGGCTGAGGTGGGTGGATCACCTGAGGTCAGGAGTTCAAGACCAGCCTAACCAGTATGGTGAAACCCCGTCTCTACTAAAACTACAAAAATTAGCCAGGCAGGGTGGTGTGTGCCTGTAGTCCCAGCTACTTGGGAGGCTGAGACAGGAGAATTGCTTGCACCTGGGAGGCGAAGGTTGCAGTGAGCTGAGACGGCGCCACTGCATTCCAGCCTGGGTGACAGAGGGAGACTCATCTCAAAAACAAAAAAAGTTTTTAAAAAGTAATTTCAAAAACGAAATATGACTGTCCTACACAATTCTCCACCATTAAACAGTAATTGCTAAAGACAGACGATCTCTGGGCTCCAAAAGACTATCACTCTATGAGGCCATGTTGGCCTGGAGGGAAGCTCTACAGATAGGAAGCAAACGGATGCAGGGGACCACAGTGTCGTGATCTCCTTCTGAGGGGTTTGACAGCCTCTAGCTCACCTCTGGAGCATGCACTGTGAGAGGCAAGGACGATGAATTAAAGCCAGTCAGGAGGAGCAATATGGAGAAGAAACAACTGAAGGCATTGGAAGTGTTTCTCTTGGAGGAAATGTGAAGGCACAAAGCCGTCCTCTTGAAGAGAGGAAGCGAGATTCCTTGCTCTGTATCGTTCCCACCACAATGCTCTAGCCCTGCAGTCAGCACATCATTTTGAAACCACCTGCTTATAAATTCACTCCACTCCCCAAAACCTCAGCTCCTTGGGCATGTGAGCCACTTCTGAGGCGCCAACAACAATCCCACGGCCAGGACACAGCAAATGCTGAACTGAGAGCGGAAATGACAGGAAGGCCTACAGTGGCTCAAGAAAGGGAAGTGCTTTCTAACAATCCCAGCTGCCTCCAACAGGCTAGGATGTTTGGGCAGAAGCATCCCCTCAGGGAACGATCGGCTAGCAGTGGAATGCACTCATGCCAACAGAGGGATGCAGGACAAAACAGTCCCTGAGATTTCTTCCAATTCTAAGACCCAGCCTCCTGGAACAGCAAAGGGAGACATAGGATCACACCACTGCACTCAGGCCTGGGTGACAGGGGAGATTCCATCTCTTAAAAAAAAAAAAGAAAGGGGGGCGGAGGGGGAACCATAGGGGAAGCAATGCAATAGTAGCACCTGCACTGTGCCAGGGACACACATCCAAACGCTACCTCGTAACCCTTGCAATCCAACGAGGAGGCAGGCACTAGTGCTGTTCCCATTTCACGGTGGAGGAATCTGAGGCTCGGACAGGTTCAACAACTTGCCAAAGACATATAACTAGTAGGACGTGGAGCTGAAATGCGAACCAGGACCACCAGGCTGCCCTCCTGGCCGTGCAGAAGGCAGCTCCAGCCCTTCGCTGCCGAAAGTGCTCCAAAGGAAATAATATTAACTGACTTCATGGCTTGTTGACGCCAAAACATGTCTTAAGTATTTTTACATCTATAAACCCAAAAGTGCTAAGCCAACAGCTCCAGCTCTAGGGGAAAACAGCTGGTCTGGGGCCATCTGTTCTGTGGGAGCCTAAGGGCTGCCCTCTCCTAGACTCCAACCAAAGAACATGAGATGCTACAGGAGGGGTCTGGGAAGGTCTGAAGGAGCTAAATTTTATGGAGAGCAGAGCATAAGATCAAACCTTTGCATTAGGAAGATCACTGTGGTAGCAATTTAGGAGGCTGGGCTGCAGGCAGTCAGACAGGAGGCGTGAAGGCGATGCTGGACTAATGCAGGTGAGGGATACGCTGGCCTCAGGCTGATCATACTTCAAGGCCCTTCTGCTAGAATTCCCACAGAAACCAAACTTTCCACTCTCTGGGCCCCGATCTACTCACACTGTCATGGACGCGGGCCTGCTGTCAAGTCTACTAATTTTGTGGAGCCTCCTACATGTCTTTCTTTAACGTAAGGAGAGAAACAATGCTGATGGTAAATGCCAATTATTGAACTCACTCCATGCCAGGCCCTTTACATAATCTCCAGATGGCCCCAACAGCCCTATGAGGAAAGTTACTATCCCTATCCCCGTTTTGCAGAGGCGGAAACTGAAGTTTAGAGAAGGTAGCTTACCAAAGGTCATCCAGCTCCTAAAGGAAGGAGTCAGGATTTCTGTCGAGTTCTACCTGACGGCAGAGACTGCACTGTTAACCACTGCCAAGAAGAGTGGAGAGGGACGGCTAAGGGTTCTGAGTCCCGGGCTTCTGCGAGGATCGGTGACCCCGCGAGGCCCCCCTTCCACGCCTTCGGGAAAATAATAAGTGATAGCCATAACCGCCGAAGAAAGGCTAGATGTGGGAAGCCCAATCCCAAACAAAGGAATCAGAAGGGATCCAGCTTTCGGCAGCCTTCAGCTATGATAAGTGATTAAAGGGCATGGACCTGAGCACCCCGGACAGGAAAGACAAAAAAAAAGGGGTCCCAAGCGAGCAGCTGACTCGGGGCAGAGGCGGGGCTCGCCAGGGAGGAACACTCTGGGGCGGGGCTTATGAGGGGCGGGGCTCTCTGAGCCTCTCTAAGACTAGGACCTGCCGGACCCTATGAGGGGGCGGCCCGCGGGAGGGCGGGGCCGCATGGGGGGCGGGGCTACAGCTGCGCTCGCAACCCACGGATTCATGAGGTCACCTCCCCGCGCCCGGACCCAACCCTCATTCCATACTCTGGCTCCAGCAGGGTTGATCTGGGATCTCGATGGTGTAGTCCAGCTCTGCCGAGCCCATGGTGAAGGCGCCGGCCCCGAGCACGGGCCTCCAGCCGGAACTCTAGCTTGCGCACCCTTGCCTCACCCGGGCGCCTCCTGGGCGCCGCCCAATCACCACACACCTCCCCCGACACGGCCCAATCCCTGCGCCGCGCTCTGTGACCTCCCGCCTTAGCAACCACCAAGTCTCTTCTAGAGCCTCTCGCCTCACCCCACTAGCTCGGCCCTAGCAACCGTGCCCCGCCCCTATTACTGGCCCGCAGCCATTGGCTAACTCGCTTGATCTGGATTAGGTATTGGTCAGCCGGGGCGCCGGTCAGGAAAAGTCCGCACCCTCTTATGTAGGTAAGAGGAGGCTGGAGACTTGCTGTATTCTGGGAATGGGCAGAGTCACTCGTCCGAACAGAGTCCTGTCCTACGCGGCGGAAGCGTGTGCCCTTTGACTTGCATCGTCTAGCTACCTCTGCCATCCTCTACCAGCCGCAGCTCCGAGGGCTGGAGGTAGAAAACCGTACAAAACGGCCTAGGGGGCGCGTGCCGACCCAACCTCCACCCAGTGGGGTCGAGGCATATTCTGGTTGGATGGATGGATGGATGGATGGATGGATGGGAGGCAGTCTTTAGTTGATGACTTCAGAGAATGCCCTGTTGATAGGATCCACCGAGGAGCTGGGAGTGCAACTTTCTTGCATTTATCTATATTTACATACTGTGTGCCAGTATATTTACATACTATGTGCCAGAGACTGGGTGGGCTAAATAAGGTTCCTTAGACCCTAGTGAGGATCAAGCTTTGGCCCTCTCTCTCCCATATCTTAATGGGAGAGGGAGAGAAACCATGCACGAAGCAACTCTGATTCTGCATGTGAGATAAATACTACAGAAGAGTAAGGATTTGAGGAGCTCGTAATCAGAGAAGGGGCATTTCTGGCAGTGTGATTGGCTCTTCAGCTGGGTCTTGAAAGACTTTTAGAGATAGGGAGGGGGAAAGACTCTGTATGCCAGGCGCGGTGGCTCAAACTCGTAATCCCAGCACTTTGGAAGCCCAAGACGGGAGAATGGCTTGAAGGAGTTCAAGACCAGCCTGGGCAACATAGTGAGACCTTCATCTCTACAAAATAAAAATTTTTTAAATTAGCCAGGCATGGTAGCTCATGCCTGAAGTCCCAGCTACTTGGAAAGCTGAGGTGGGAGGATCACTTGAGTCGGGGAGGTCAAAGCTGCAGTGAGCCATGATTGTGCCACTGCACTCCAGCTTGGGTGACAGAGTGAGACCCTGTCTCAAAAAACAAAACAAAGAGTCCGGTGTGGTGGCTCACGCCTGTAATCCCAGCACTTTGGGAGGCTGAGGTGGGCGGATCACTTCAGGTCAGGAGTTCAAGACCAGCCTGGCCAACATGGCAAAACCCCATCTCTACTAAAAATACAAAAATTAGCCAGGCATGGTGGTGGGCACCTGTAATCCCAGCTACTTGGGAGGCTGAGGCAGGAGAATAGCTTGAACCCGGGAGATAGAGGTGGCAGTGAGCCGAGATTGCGCCACTGCACTCCAGCCTGGGTGACGGAATGAGACTCCATCTCAAAAACAAAAAAAGACTCCCTTCGGGAGCTCAAAGAGGTGAATGTGCCAGAAATTACATGAAGCATCCTCTAGCCAGGCTAGAGACTCATGTGAGGGGAACCTTGGAAAAATAGACCCAGATCCTGGAGAGTCTTTGATGCCAAGCTCAGCTTTGTGCTTACAGGTAGATCTTGCTGATGGTAAAAATTTTCCAATGCATTTTACACCCATGAGCACAAGGGCTTAGACTTTATCACTAAGACGGCAGGGAGTCATTGCAGGGCTTTAAGCAGGGGAGTAACAATCAGATTTGTGTCTAGAAAGATTAGTGCAGGGGGCCAGGCAAGGTGGCTCATGCCTGCAATCCCACCACTTTGGGAGGCTGAGGCAGGCAGATCACCTGAGGTCAGGAGTTTGAGACCAGCCTGGCCAACATGGTGAACCCCCGTCTCTACTGAAAATACAAAAATTACCTGGACATGGTGGCGGGTGCCTGTAATCCCAGCTACTCGGGAGGCTGAAGCAGGAGAATCGCTTGAATCCAGGAGGCGGAGGTTGCAGTGAGCCACAATCGCACCACTGCGCTCCAGCCTGGGCAACAGACCGAGACTCCCTCTCAAAAAAAAGAAAGATTAGTGCAGGAACTGGATTGGGGATTGGGAGAAGGAGGGAGACCAGTTAGGAGGTTGTTTCAGTAGTGGGGAAGGATTATGGTAGCATAAAGCATGGAGTGGCAGCTGAAATGGAAAGGGCAGAATGAATTCCTTAGACACCTACAGCAAGAAAAAACTGGACTTGGTTACTGATTGGGTGTGGGGAAGTAAGGGAAATGAAGGATGACTTCTAGATTCCTGGTTTGGGCAAACAGGAAGGAGAGGAAGCAGGGTTTTTAGGAGAGGGTCAGCTCTGGGCATGGTGAGCTTGAGGTGCCAATGGAACATCCAAGTGGAGGTATCCAGAAGGCCACTGGATATGCCTAACTGGAGTTTGCCAGATAAGTCTAACTGGAAGTTGCAATGTGGGAGTCTTTGGGACCTTATAGATGCCAGCCACACCAATAGATTTGTTGAGCTTGCCCAGGGAGTAAGTGTAGAGTCAGCAGAGACCTAGGACAGAGCCCTGAGAAACACCCAAGTTTGAGGGTCTGGCAAAGGAAGAGGAACCTGCAAAGGTAATCAAGATGAAGTGTCCAAAATGGTAAGAAGATCAGTAGTAGAATGTGGTGTTTCAGAAGCCAAGGAAGGAAAATGTTGAAGGCTTATGACTAATCAAGTAAAATGAGGCCTGAAAGAATCCACTGGATGTAGAAACAAGGAAGTTGTTGGTGACCTTTGCAAGTACAGTTTCAGTGGAGTGATAGGAGCAGAGGTCAGATTACAGCGGTTTGAGAAGCAGATGGGATTGAGGAAGTGAAGATTCATGTAAGATACATTTTCAGAAAGCTTGGCTATTTAGAAGAAAAAAGAAGGCAATAGCCAGAAGGAAACGCAGGTTTTTATTCGGATGGGAGAAATGTTGGTGTGGATCCAGCAAGAGGGGAAAAGATAAAATTATAAGGGAAAGAAGATAACTGAGAATGGTGCCCCTGAAAAAAAGGCTTCACCAAAGTGTTGGTGAAGAAATTCACTTAGAAGGGTGGAGGAATATTTGTTTTGTGGCAGAAGGGAAGCATTATGTTGAGGTTAATTGGTAGGTTTGGTGACAGGAAGTTGAGGGAATTCTTCTTTGATGGTTTCCATTTTCTCTGTCAAATAAGAACATGACATCAGCCAGTGAGAGTGGGATTGGAGATAGTGTGCGAGATTGAAAAGAGCAGAGAAAGATTGAAATATCCGCAGTGGAGAGTGGCAGTGAGATGACTAAGGTAGCAAACAGATTTCTGGGCAGTTATGATGGCCCTGTTGAGGTTAGTGACCGTCAATTTTCAAGAGCAGCGGTCTGCAAGGTTGTGTAATATGCATTTTTCCCTCAACAACATTCAGCCACCTAGTGGTGGGTACAGAGAGGTTAGTTTAATTGATCTAGGTTTGAGTTTTACCGGGTGGATAGATGGAAGGAAGGACAAAGGACAAGGAAGTTGAAGATTGTGGCAAAACAGTGATTGAAATGAAGGACCTTAGTATCTAAACTGGATAGGAGAGTGAAAAAGAATGTATGGACTAGAGGTCCCAGTGAAGTCAGAGAATCCATATCTGAGATCACTGAATGAGAAAGTTGTGATCAGAAAGTGGAAGAATGAAGTTTGAGTAGTTTCCAGTGATGACAAGGTCCAGGGTGTGGCCGTGGGAGTCAGGGGCCAAAGTGGAGTACAGGAGACAGTCAGGATGCTGACGTGGCCACTGAACTCCCCCTGGATGATAGGAAGACTTGAGGGGAGGGAAGGGAAGAGGATGCCTGTGAGCTAGGTACCAGTCTTTGATGGGTAGAGCAAGGTTTTCTGGAGTCTCTAGGTGACAGCATGAGGAGGGGCAAAGGCTGAGACAGCTAAATGGTATGACCCTTGAAGTAGTAAGGTCTTTTACAAGAAGGAGGTGGAATAAGGAACTGAGTTGGGCTTTGGCAAGGAGACATGAGGCCCCCTCCTAACCGTGAAATCCTGGGGGTGTAAGAGTCTAAACAGCTTCTACCAGGAGGGCCTTGCAGAAGGGGAGCCCTGGGGTAGAGCCAGCTTTGGATGCAGGCTGGAGGTGGGCGGGTGACTGGAGAGGCTGAGAATGGAGAAGACTTAGCTGATTGGGAAGAAGGGTTTTCAAGAGCAGAGTAAAAAGGTTGGGAAGGGAAGGAAGGCTGCGAAATGGGTCAAGGAAGATGAAGCATAGAGCAGTGAAGGGGCAAGGAGAGTGTGGTTGACCTCGCCAGTTACATGTTGTGGAGAGAGGATGAGAGATGATGAAGGTCTGTGGAGCGGGGTTGGAGGCAGAAGTGAGTCTGGGGAGAAGAGTAGGGGCTGTGGGTAGGGATGAAGCAAGTGGGGAGAAGATGAAGGCAGAGGATTTCATAGGAAGGAGATGGGGGAAAGGAGTTCCTGTGGGGAGAGGATGGAGAAAATGGAAAGATGTGGGGAAAATATGGGGGCTGCCGGGCGCAGTGGCTCAAGCCTGTAATCCTAGCACTTTGGGAGGCCGAGACGGGCGGATCACGAGGTCAGGAGATCGAGACCATCCTGGCTAACATGGTGAAACCCCGTCTCTACTAAAAAATACAAAAAACTAGCCGGGCGCGGTGGCGGGCGCCTGTAGTCCCAGCTACTCGGGAGGCTGAGGCAGGAGAATGGCGTGAACCCGGGAGGCGGAGCTTGCAGTGAGCTGAGATCCGGCCACTGCACTCCAGCCTGGGCGACAGAGCGAGACTCCGTCTCAAAAAAAAAAAAAAAAAAAAAAACAAACGAAAATATGGGGGCAGATTGGAGTCTACCAGGAAGTGATGGGTAGCAGGGGTAGGGGTGTCTGTCAGGGTATGAGTGGGGAGCAGAAGAGGGTCCGTGAGAAGGAAGTGACAAATTGAAGTGCATATGCCCCTGGGAGAGAAGTAAGGACACCTTGTTTGGAAGTTTGAGGAGATAATGTTTCTCTCTCCCTGTCTCTGAATGGAGAACTGAGAGTGAGGAGTCAGGGATGGGAGCCCAAGGAGAAGGCCTGTCTCATTCTGCATGTGAAACCTACAGGAATAGGAGACAGTGACTCGCTTGTTGTCTCCAAGGCCATCTGGGGACAGTGAGCCAGGCTGGCAACCCATGCCTTGGAGGCCTCTTGCGTTCAGAAGGTGTCTTTTGATTTCAGGGGGTTGGGGAAGCCCTCTGGGAAATTTTATTTAGAAACAAGGCCTATTGACCTCTTGATTTTTAATACCTCCCCTTCGCTTGTTGCTAAGGACCTTTGGCTTAGCGTGAGAGCTGGGGCTTTTGAGATTGTGTGATTTTAGTTTCTTTGCATGAAGAAGA